GTGGGGGGTGTGCTTTTTAAGGAATTTGCTTAAATTTTGCTCACTGAAAACTCTGATGACCAAACTATCAATAAGCTTCTACTCCACCTTTTGTTACACCGATTATCTGGAAAAAGATTAATCTAGTCAGCTATTTCCTTTACATGCATATATTTCTTCCTCATTGCCCTCTCCCATACTTCTTCCATATTTGTGGCCCATAGAGCACGTTGGCCATACACAGCCAGCAACTGCTGATTAATAATGACAATGTTCAGTTCACTTATTTCCCCACTGGAATTGCTATTTCAATTTTATCATTTGGACATTCGGAGAAATGTAGCCCAAACTACTAATACACCCCGAGCTGCTACTTCTTGTAGCTCCTTAGGACAGCTTTCACTAGGCGTGGAGAAGTGCTTGGGGCAGGATTCATCCGCGGGAAGCGATCAACTAACACCCAGGAGAGATGTGAATGGGCACAACAATCCCACAGCACCAGCTCTACCAGGTGGGAATAATGGTTGGATGTAACTTACAGGGGTACTCAATGTATCTTTAGGTGCAAGTAATGAACGAAGGGCAGCCAAGGCTCTGGTGGAAAGCAGCAGCTATTTTACCGCATGCAATTTTGAGCGCCGAATTAATCCCAACGTGCTGTTCCTTTGCTGCTAAGCTGCTTTAAAAACTGGTGTTTCTATTTTGAAGCTTTTGTTTGTTTAGTTAAGTGCTTGGTGCCCTCACTAGGAGCTGCCGGGATAGTCAGCACTCTCCAATTGGGTGGATAAGTAACAAAATCCCATTTAAACTGTTGTGCTGCCAGATCCGCCTTCCGCGTTTGAGAAATGAATAGGACGACTAATTTTGTTCTCTTTAATCAGGGAGATCCCACAAACTAGCCATGCTCTTCCCACTTGGAATTAGAGAAGAAAATTTGCAATGACTTTCCTACAGAGCTGGAGTGTTTGTGAACCAGAAACAAGCTGACTGGGGGCTGAACTTCCAGCTGACGTCCCCCCAGGCATCACGGGGCATCCACACCAGGGTCCTCACCCGCTCTCCTGAGCACTGCTGCCAGGCAGCTCCACGCGGAGGCAGCGCTGGCCCCACGGAGACCTGTCCTGCGTGAGGAAGGGGGCAGCCAGCCTGGGCCCCCACCTCCTTCATAGAATCATTCATTCAGGTTGGAAGAAACCCAAACCTGGACACAACCCTCCTGGTGTGGCCTCACCAGTGCAGAGCCCAGGGGGACTGTCACCTCCCTGCTCCTGCTGGTCACACTATTTCTAATCCAGGCCAGGATGCCGTTGGCTTTCTTGGCCATCTGGGCACACTGCTGGCTCATGTTCAGCTGCTTTCGGGATCAGAGATCGGACACGTGGCTGGATAAACCACCTCCTTCTTTGAGGAGCAGGTGGTTTACACAAGGAGCAGGCGGTTTACACGAGGAGCAGGCTACCAGGAGGATGTGTGCTCTCCACAGCCTGCTGAAGACATGGCACTGACCAAACCTCTCGGAGACTGGTGGGGCTGTGTAAAATGCCTGAGGGGGGGGCCCAGCTTCATGGCATAGATGGGTGCCTGCTGCACTAAAATCACTGGGTAAAACACACTCACTCGCTTCTGCTGGCTGCGATTTCCATAGCTGAATAATTTTTTTATCTGCCTCTAAACTTCAGTTGTAAATGAGGAGCTCACTTCCACTTGCAGAGCACCAGTACTTCAAAATTACCCTTCTTAAGCCTTTCCCAAGAATGAGAAAGACCCACAGAGAGCGTGAGTGTCACAGCAGGGCTCTGCTCTAGCAGCAACTTTTGCTCTTAGCATAGAACTTGCAATTCTGGCTCTGGCAACGCAGCATCATCAACTTTGGCTGAGTTTTCTTCACCACTCAACTCCCCTTTCTCTTGCTGGACAAGTCCCCCCACCATATGAAGTGTGTGCCTGGCCCAGGAGCCCTGCTGCTGGCATGGGGAAGAACCCAGGTCAGGAAGGAACAGGTAATCCAGTTAGGGAAACTCTAGTCTGGGTCTACAGCAGAATTAAGAAGTTCACGTAAGTAAGTACACCATAGACGCCACAATTTGTCCCTCACCAGATACTCAGATTCTGTTCTCTGGGATGTGCAGGCTGCCTGCAAGAGTCCAGCATTTTCATTCTGTCAACTCAGGGTTGTAAGCATCAAAAGACCACTCCAGGAGAAGCTTCACTTCCAGGGGAACCCACTGCCATTCAGACCTAAAAAGAAAGGGCAATACCCTGCCTCAGCATCAATCCAAACTGTGCAGCACTCCCCCTGCTGTCACCAGTGCCAGCACCAAGATCCACCATGTTTCTTCAGACAGGAAAAACAAAAAACAAAAAACAAACCAGGTTGCTGCCCACCCAGCTGGGGACTGAAGCAGCTTTGCTTGCTGGCAATAAAAACATGCTGCTTGCCTATAGGGGATGTCAGGAAAAAGACCAGTTGTACTAAGAATAACTGAGGCTCCCTCAGTAAGTTAATGACAGGATTGTAAGGACATGGAGAATAAATCACTTACCCTAAGAAGAAGAGACAGAATAAAAAGAGAAGACAGATTTGGTGTGATGGGGAGTGACTCAATCTATGTAATTATCCAGTTATGAGGTAACAGTTTGGGAGGTGGTGAGAGAAATCCATTCTTCCCATTCTGACAGCTCTTCCCAAAGGTTTTCTCAAGTGGATAACCATGAGGGCAGAAAAGACCTGCCCTGTGCCCCTGTCACGGCTGTGCGACGCAGTGAACGGCAAAGAAGCATAACCCCAGACCAAAACCCTGTATCCAAAATTCAAGTGCTTCTCATGCCATGGCTCTGGCCCGGGGACAGAGTCTTTGCTCTTCACTTCCAGAGGACTGAGCCTCTGCATGCTGAGGGCACCCTGAGCTGCCCCTCCAGTCTGTCACCCCGGCCCTTGGGTGCCAGCCTCGGCACAACCTCCTGACTGCTTCCAGGTTCACCCGGCCCACCTGTAAAAGGTATGGGCTTGCAGAGGCTGGGGCACCTCATGCGGCTGTAAAAGTGTGTTGCTGATAATCAGACCCTCAGTGTGGTTTACAGAACAAGTTTTGTTTACTTCAGTTTACAAAGTTAAAGCCACCAGCTTTAATTCTCCCTAAAAAACAAAACAACTGGGGAAGTGCATGATTCAGAGTGGCTTGGTGCAAATTTTTGCAAAGTAACAGACACAAAATCAAAACTATTCAAATTATACAGACATGTAAAACAAAAGAAATTCAAGTTAAAACCAGGACTGGATTCCTATTAGGCCTAGAGATGATCCAAGAATATGTCAGGAAATAAATAATCATTCTAATTTTCACCATAAAAGAGGGTGCTGCTTACTAATCCAAATGGTTTGGGTATTTACAGAAGGCAAATGGGTTAGAGGAGAAACAGAAAGAAGAAAAGGATTTCTGAGAGTGAACTGAAATGCTGCAGGACGATCACTTCCCTGCATGCCCCACTGTGACTAAGAGAAGGCTTTAAATCACTGCAAGGGGCCAAAGAAATCCCTTTTGAGCAGGATGCCATCATCTGCCCCACACTGGACAGACCATGCCAAGGTGTGGCCAGCATGGTCTAACCATGTTTGGCTGTCACCAGAGGTTCTGAAGCTCCACCACAATCCGTGGCCACCCTGGGACAGATGACAAGTAAGTTGGCCTGGTCAGTCCAATTTATGAACAGGAAGGCAATTTATCCTAGAATCCATCTGAAGGGAAGACTGTTGAAAGCCACATGTTCCTGGCCTCCGCTGGACCATGCATGCTCTGAGGAGGAGGCAGCCAGCACAACTAAATCTCTGTTCTTCAACATGTAAGCACAGCTGGTGACCAAAACACTTGGCATTTCCACAAAGGCCAACAGCCAGGGTACCTTAGGTGATTGCAAGATAAAACAGGCTCTTTCAAGTGTCACTTTCAACATTTGCAAACCACAGGAGACAAAGCAACACCCTCATTTACAAAGGCAGTGTGACTTGTTCTCGTTGCTGGTATTTCTGATGCATTGTTACCAAATAATAATCCACTTGCTTTTTGCTGCACAAGCTACTAAGGCCAGATCCTGACAGGTCAGAGCTACACTTTAGGTGCAGCCAGTGGAGCAGAAGATGCTTAATGCCGAGCACAAGCAGGGCAAATTCTGCAGTTAATGTCATATAGCATGCAAAAAAAACATCCTGAAGGCTCATCCTAACCTTCTGTTTCCTTGTCAAGACAGATTTATTTACAGTCAGTACCCCAGGGACTAGATTCGAGTGGCAGTGGTGCTATATGCATATTTTTAATGGGATTTGACATTTAAGGCAGCATTTCAGTTCACCTCTAAGCTTGTAATTACACTTGCAAATCTGCTTAGCAAGACAGCAGAGCATCCCAGGGGACTGCTCCAACAGATTGGTTCTGTTCCCTTCGAAGCAGTATTTGAGTACCAAGTGATGCTACAGAGCAGATACAGAGCAGACACTGCGGACTGCAGCGCCTGACACAGACGCCTGCAAACTGGACCCACTCCTAATCTTCAAAATAAAAACAAAAACAAAGACTGCAGAGAGCCCTCGCTTTATCTTAAAAGCAACACTGCACTGAGTCAGATACCACTGGAGGTCAGGAGCACTTCATGAATGCACTGCCGAGGCAGGACTCCTTTCTACACCCTGCCGCCAGTTATCTTTGGTCTCATGAAATCTTTAAGTGCTAAAAGTACCAGAACAACCCAAGGATGAATTCCCGTTCATCTCCTCCTGGTCTGGAATCACGATGGCCCAGGGCTGAGAAGCAGCTTCATGTCTCTCGCACAAGTGCAGACTCTGCCCAGCGTGTCCTTCCCAAAGGAATCCAGTCAGGTTTCTCCTTTCATCATAGCCCTACCACCACTGAAATTCTGAGAGCAAATTGATGCCAAATGCCAGGATGTTCAGGACTATATATTGCTCTTCAATTTAAACACCCACCCACCCCTTTGCACTCAATTTACACCACCACCCCCAGAGTTATGACTGGAACCAAATAAAGTACATATGAAGTACTCAGCTGGGCCTCCATGTATACTCATCTATCTTCAGGTCTGGAGAAAAAAACCAGTTTAATTTGTTCAAATTTAGGCTGCCCATGGGAGGCAAATTGAAGGATATCTTTCACTTACGAGCCACCTCTCAGGTGGCTCAGATCTTTCTGCAGGATGCAAATAGTTTCATCCCTGAGTTCAACTCTGAAAGAGAAAAATGCAGTCTTCAGCCATCACCATCCTCGTGCCAGGAGCAAAAAGAACGTTTAGCACAGAGGTCTCTGCTGCAGGGACAAAAAGCAAACAAGCAGCATAAAGCTGGGAAAGATGGAGAAAAGCAGAGAGAGGCTAATTTGTATCATATCAAAGAAACGGAAGGAAACCTGAGGCAAAAAGGTCTGGACTAGTAGAGGAAGAAAGCTGACAGAAGGTAGACTGCACTGTTCAACAGCAAAACCTTTGCAGCCCTCAGTGCCCATTTGGGAGCAGCCTGGTACCTCCATCAACAATGATCCCAGACAGACAAGCAGAACAAATCTAGAAAGCATTCCCAAAGAGACGTAAGATCCCTCAAGGCCATTTCAATGACATGAGCAAAACTCAAAGTTTTTCTCTTTTTTTCCCAGCAGGGATGACACGATGCTTTGTCCAGGTTAGTGCATACAGTTCTCCTCTCCTCACAAGGCTTCTAGCTGACCGATGTGCAGTTCAGCTCTGCGGGGTCCTGCCTACCTGCTGCCAGGACTCCCTCTGGCCCATCAGCAATACTGGGCTCACTGGAGCACTGCCTGTGGCTAAAACTGGGCTGCAGGAGGAGGCATTTGTCGGTGCTGTCTGACTCCTCGATCACCATTCCCGTGTGCATCATGGAGGCCATTGCCAGGAGCTGAATATCTGAGTGAGCATTGGCAACCGTGTGGCGACGGATGCTACCACATTTCTCCAGGTAAGCCTCACCCTCCTGCTCTGTCAGTGGGGTCAGGGCCATCTCACTGGGCTGCCAGCTTGTCACCACGTGAGATGGATAATTCAGTACACCAGTCTTAGGACGGGATCTGGAGTATCGTCTCTCTGGAAGAGAAAAAGGAAGGAAGAGTCAATAGGGCACAGACAAAGCGTTTCCCAAACTGCTAGCCTGGTCTCAGGGAACAGAGGGGACTCAGCATGCAGCTGCTGAGCATCCCACCCCATTACCACCGGGGAACAGTCATTAGTTGATGCTGCCGGGGGGTTGGAAAGGAGCTCTGCCTCTCTCCCAGTAAGCAGACACCTCCCACCCTGCTGTGGGTGCTTCTGCCAGCAAGAGAATTCAACCAAAAACTAACGAGTGCAGCAAAGGGACTTTGTTCACACCCTGATGGTCTCCTCTCCTACCCGGGGGATGAGAACTAAGTAGCTCTCACATGCAGGTTCACTAAAATCGGTGACACTAAAGTGGCACAAGTCCCCAAAGAAAGATACAGTGAGGACCTGAGTTGCCATCCCTTTCTCTGGAAAATTCCTCTCAGGAGAAGCCGTTAGCTTGTGTCAATGTGAAATTCCTGATGCCTCTTCAGCTGCCCAGGGAAAGGTGGTTCTGCTAGCATCATCCCACTGTATTGTTTGAAGATTATGCATGAGAAAGAACATTTAATCCACTTCAAAACATGTCTGGTTTGGGGGTCAGACACTGAAAACACCTAACAGTGCAGAGCAAGAGCCCAGAACAGCCTGGGGGAGAAGTGCAGATGAGGAAGGCTGTACTTGCAGAGCAGGGTGAAGCAGTGACACAGAAGTGATGGGTGCAGGGCCTACGATATGCTCAGCAAAAACATTAAGGGGGAAAAATGCCTGGTTTAAAACTCAAACCCAAGGCACATTCCCCAGCCCCATATCATGAAGCACCATTTCAATTCCAACACTGAAAGCTTTAAGAAAAGCAGGGGACCAAGTCTGTGCCTCAGCTCCCTGTAATTCACTCCCCTGGCAGGCTGAATCAGACAGGATTATTTTTCACCTGCTGTCTTCCACCGCCATCACCACGTGGTGTTAAACACCTCACACAGTCTATCCTGAAGCAGCTGATAAAGCTATTCCCTACCTGTCTCTCTGCTTCTCATCAATTCCCTTGAAGTGCAGGGTCTCATTTCCTAAAGCTGGAAGCCTTTAAACCATATAAAATACTTCCACCAAGACTGTAAGAGCATAAGAGATAGAGTAACAAAAGCACTCATCACTGAAGGTCATAAAAGAGTTTTGGAAGCTTGCATCAGGAAGAAAAGCAGAAAACAAACTCTATATTGTTTCAGGGAGGAATGGGTGAGCAGCCAAAACACCACCACTGGTGGCAGCCAAGCAATGACAACACTTCACTGCTGCCAGTAATACATTAATTCAAAACACTTCACTTCATGCTTAAGAATGTGCAAATAATTTTTGAGGCCAGTTACAGTAAATATATACTTTAGGTGTCATCTGCAGCTCAAGCCACAGCAAGCTGTCGTGTTGGAGAGCATTGGGACCTGACTCTTTTGAGGAAAAAATATCCACGGATGATTCTCCTGCAGCAAAATTAAAATCCTTTATGATGAGAATCGGGTAAAAATTAGGCTAAACTCTGAACATTCATTTATTGCTTTAGTTTTCTCCCTTCACTTTCTTGGCCACCAAATGCAGTGTGTTAAGGGAGTTGTCACACAAAGTTTAACTAGAAATCTTATTGCTATTTTGGTGTGTTATGGCCAGGAACATAAACTGGGAGGAGTTTTTAAGGGCTTTTTGCAAGCAAACTCAAATCAGCAGACATTAGGCTTAATATACATGGGGGGAATAGGGTGAAGGTTTAATTTTCTTCCCTATTCCCTATTTAAACATTGTTTCTTAGACAAGTGGATACCATTAGCCTACTCCATCCTTACAAAGCAGATTATGGCTCATTTACACGGGCAGAGCAAGAAGGGTGGTAATGGGAGAGCAGGTGGGGATGCTGCCCTCTGCCAATCCCCTCTGTGAGCTGCCCTGTCCCCTGTCACAGCTATCCCTGCTGCACTCCTCTCTCACTTTAAATCAAGTTTAAGATACAGCAGCCTTGTAGGCTGAAGCCTTATGTGTGTTCGCAGCTGTGATCAGACATCTTCATCTGCATTTCTCAACACTCATTCATCTTCAAGGTCCCAGTCTGGGGGCGCAGAGGGCAGTTTGGCCTCCACAGCATCCGCTGAGAACGCAAGCGTGCCCAAAGACCAGCAGTGCATTTCCAAAAAGCTATTACAGAGAACCTACTGGGCTTCATCATCATTACAGGCTGCCCAGTGAGAGAAGAAATTGGTTCCAAGAAAGCAAAAAGGTGGCAGAAAGAGGGAGGGGGGAAGAGAAAGAAGTCTGATTAGAAATGAGGGTTAAGAAAAAGAAACCACCACCACAGCAGCACTTTGAAAACACCAAGATTATCTGCAGAAAAGTGCTGCTCTGCTGTCAATGTCATATAACACAAACACAAGTCCTTTCTTTCCTCCCACTCAGCACAGGGTGGAACAGGAGCAAAAGGCCATCTTGGAAATGTACACAAATAAATGACAGCTAAAATCAAAGTAAATACAATGATTTTAAGGCACATAAACTTTACAAGGCTATGCTGTGCGAATTTTATTTTTACTGACACTGATGCCTTGTTCAGCTGGCAGAAATCCAGGATGGCTAGAAACTTAAGTACCAGTCAGCCAGCCACCTTTCAAGCTATCCCAGCAGCGTGCAGAGGTCCATAAACAGCCAATCACATTTGTCAAACCTCAATT